GGAGCTTAAACTTTAGCAATCAACGAAGAGACTATATGTATAAACACACAAATAGGTGATTGCATAATTTTTGAAGGCTCAAGCTATGATAGAATTGTAGCTCTAATTCATGAATTGAATTATAGATTTATACTTCGTATAGTACACGAATACAAGTGAGACTAACTGTACCTGATTTGTAGAAAACGAGCACGATGTCTCATTATTATTTTTCTGACTAAGTTCGCGTCGTTCTTGAGCAACGCACATTTCCACATCATTCACGTTTCCGCCTTTCGTTCTCCAAGCAACTCTTTTACACACTTTGTACCAGTGCGGTGTATTATCTGCAGACTGCCATTCGCGTAAAAGAAAACTTCCCCGATACTATAGTACCCATTATCTTGGTGAAATATGAAATGTTCTCCGAGAATTTGCCTAGCACACTTTTGTATTTACCCATTGCATAATTTTATCTAATCAACGTTGTTCGTTCAGACTTACATTAGTCAATATGCTCAATTATGGAGATAGCGGTACGTTGTAACGAAGAACATTTCCACGAGAATGGCGGAACGTTGACCACAAAAATTCAGATATTACACAAAATCAAAATGAAATAAATTCTTTATGCTATACGATCAACGTAATGCGTTACTATTTTATCGTGTCTGGTACATTCACTCGAATATAATTACATAGTTATATATTTGTTTTCGCAAAAAATACAACTGTACCATATAATTCATATTTATCTATCTATTAAATATTGTATTAAAAGTATAAACACAATATTTATACAGGGTGTTCCGTCATCCCTGGGAAAAATTTGAATGAGACATTCTAGAAGCCAAAATAAGACGAAAATCAAGAATATTAATTTGTTGATTGAGGCTTCGTTAAAAAGTTATTAACAAAATTAAATTAAAAAATTTTAAATCGTTCTGGAAAAATTATTTTCGATTGCGGGGGTCAATTACAATCATTTTTGGTGAATAGACATACCCCTGAAATCTTACCCACTTTCTTGAAAAAAATTCGAGAAGGTGTGAAATTTTCCGACGGAAAAAAAAATTTCAAATCGTTCTGGAAAAATTATTTTCGATTGTGGGGGTCAATTATAATCATTTTTGGTGAATAGACATACCCCCGAATTCCTATCCACTTTCTAGAAAAAAATTCGAGAAGGTGTGAAATTTCGACGGAAAAAAAAATTCAAATCGTTCTGGAAAAATTATTTTCGATTGCGAGGGTTAATTACAATAATTTTTGGTGAATAGACATACCCCCAAAATCCTGCGCATTTTCGAGAAAAAAATTGATTTCGTGCGGAACTTTAAACGTTAATAAGTTTTTAACAAAGCCTCCATCAACAAATTGGTATTCTTGATTTTCGTCTTATTTTGGCCTCTAGAATCTCCCATTAAAATTGTTTCTAAAGAGGAATATCTTTACGTTTCTAGATAGTTGGATACTACTTAATTTAAAATTTTTTAAGTTTCGTGTAAATTCACGTGTCCTTTTCATTTTTCTCGATATTTCACGGTAAGATCCTTTAATTCCCGGAGTAATCCTCGTGTTAATAATCGTTAAAAAAAAATATCGCGTAAACGAAAGAGAGTCTACGATAGAACGCAAATATATATTCTGTCGTTTATTTATTTTTGGGCACCGTTCTTCGTCGTTTCGGTGCTGTAGTCGCTTGATTTTGTTTGTTTCCAATGGCTACCCCGCTGAACGAAATATAATGCTGGCTATGAATATACAAACACAGACGACGCTCCGCGAGCGAAAAGAAAAACAATGATCACGTGGAACAGAGATCCGTGCGCGTCGAACGATTAGTTTGTAATCGGTTTGTATCCGCCAGATGACATTCGTTGTCGACGGAATTTCTCGCGAGAGGAAACCGATGGCGGAACCGATAAAATATATTGACCGTGTAATTGAATTATAACTTACTTGGCGCGGAGGATACCGTGATCACGAAGGCGGTTCCTTCTGGGCGAGGCCCTTCCATTGCACTTCGTTAGGGCTGAACCTTGCGAATACTCCTATTGTGGGTATGTCGAGCGCACAATTTTTGATAGTCGGGACCTGCGTTCGCGCTGTCCCGGATTACGACATTGAAAAATAAACGGTTTTTGTTTCTCCATGCCGGACGGGAAAACTAGAATTCGCGGTTAGGTTCGTACAGTCAGGGACAATACGATAAAACGAACCCTATTAATGAGTTTAATTGCTCTATATAGGATCAATAATTATATTTTTATATTTTACGATTAATAATTTTGTTTAGTACCATTTAACACGTTGACTACCACTCTAAAATCCTAAAATTGTTTGCAAGATCAAAACCTTGATTTTACTCAATTGTAAACTACACAACTTAAAAGTTGTCCTAGCAGTTACTTTCGTAACCTCATTAAAATTTATTTTCTTTAACATTTCAACTTGAGGATTAATTGTTTTAGTATGGATGGCGTGGCAGTCACAGTGTTAATAATGACTTAATTATACAAAAATACATATTGTTATTCAACCAAACGAAATATATCATTCAAAAAATTCAAATACAAAAATATTATGCCTCTCGATCCATAGTTTGTAGTATTTTTATATTCGCGAATCAAACTTTAACCTTTAATGCTCGATGTTATTAATTATTCGGTAGCTTGAGCATTTTTTAAGGAAATATGATAACGAACTTTACAAATTGTTCATTGCTCGTTCCTTTTACATATTTCAAGGCAATTATATTCTTTTGTATTAAATATTTCTCAGGGTTTGTTCAAACATGAAATACTATTAACTCGAAGAAACAAACTCGTCGCTGTTTTATTGCTACGTAGAAAGCAATGATTCTTCTCGCGTATCTTGTGGTTTTGCGGATTTGTGGTTTTGTCATTGTGTGCGTCCGTATCGTTTGCTAATATTATTTAAAAGTGTTGGGAATCAGAAACTGATAAACAAAATGATCGTTAGAAATAGACGTCAAAGTATTATATAGTTAACGTGAATCTCGGTTTGTAAAGCAGTTTGCATTTGACGTCTTTGAATTATTGTAATGTAAGTAGATTTTATGATTCTTGTTTTAAACTAAAACAATTAACTTTTGCAAGTAGTAAATATTATATACCCACGATCGAACTCTTTTTAAATATTTTTCATGACAATTGTAAGTATCCAAAAGCGTTTAAAATATTTTCTGTGAAACGTGTCGTGTACATGTAACTTTCATTCATAATTTGAAATGTTCTAACATTACATTCCGATGAAATTTTACACTAGAAATAACATTGTAATTGTTAAAATTCACGCTGAAATAATTTTAAACGAAATTCGGGGACCGAGGATGTTAATTTGCGTGAAATTATTAATTTTGTGAATAGATCGAAAATATTTGAATTTATTGAAATCATGGCGATAAAGTGAAAAATCTATATGTGAACATAAATAAATTTGTGGGAAGAAATGGTTTTACTCTTTTCGTATAAATTTATACAAAATGTAAATGCATTTCGGAGACACTTATACCAACGTTGTTTTATGATTTACATCAGCTTGAATATTTAATACCAAATAGATATTAGTCGATTTAATGATGAGAAAATTGATCGTATTTCCATTATCGGTCTTTGAACCCTCCCTGTTACTATGGCTGAAGAAGATGCGCCATTTGCATAGAAATTGTCTGATCCCTTTATCGATTCTCTTGTTTGCTCTGGTACTTCAATGTTGTCAAGGATACTGCGTTCTATATTTTATAAATGCACAGAAAATATTTATTGTGGTAATAAATTCGAACGATAAAATGTTCTTGATTAATAAAAGTTACGGTTTCATTGTTTCAATATTGCCGTCTGCGTATTTCTCGGTATAATACGATGTTACACAAACGCATTAAAAAATAACTTCTTGGAATCCCACGTTACAAATCAATTTCTTGTTTTCACTTTCTTCTTCTTTAATTCCCAAACGAGTTCATTATTTTCTTATTTTATTTACTTACTGATGAAATAGTCGATATTAGAATGTATCTATTTAACAGAACATTGAAATTCAATATTTTTAATAGAAAAGTTTCATCGAAAACGCGAAATAGCACCAAGTCACGAATCACACATTTCACGTTACTTCAGAAATGTCATATCGGAATGACTATTTCTGACCCTTTATGCTTTAGCAAAATTATTTGCAAACGGGTTTCTCATTTATCCTTGATTTTCGTCACGCAACCCTGGTAATGACTATAACGATGCAAGAAAGGCACGGTGCATAGCCTACAATACCTCGGACAGAAATATCTTTTTCTTCTACAGAAACAACCTCTTTTCATTTCCATGATTGTTTCTTTTACCTGTTTTTCCAGTCTGTAAAAACTTATTTCCGGTGCGTTAACCGCGAGTTTTATACCATCTACCGTACAACCATGTAACGGAGAGGATTTTCAAAAATAAAACGTGCCTAAGATAGTTCGTTAACGTCGTTTAATGAAAGAAACAAAGTATTTTCGATAGAAATAAAGCTTTGGTAGTGTGGAGGACTGGGTAGAACATCCTAATCGAATTGTAACAACTTGTTTGGACCTAGGGTTATCGCAGTGGAAACAACGTCCCGCCTGTTTGCCAATTACGAGCGTTTTATGGCCGAGTGCTGGCTTATGTTCGTCCAGCTGAGAACGGTACTTTGCAAAGTTAATCGTTTCGCAGTGTGGAAGTAGCTCGTAGTGTTAGGTTGTTGCACGTGGAACGACGGTGTCCCAAAACTGGCTGACACCATCTTGTTTTCACGAACGAAAATCATTGGATGCTGATTGTCATACGTCAAATTATTATCTTCGTAGACATATTTTTGTCATGATTTTTATTAGTACAGTTACATACAGTGGTCAATATTTTATGGATTTTTAAATTTATTGTTATATAAATAAAAACCAAACGAATGCAGGGTTATATCAAACTATAATAGAAATTCTGTTTTATCAAGAAAATACAAAATCATTATTCTTTTGTTTACAGAGTATCTACGAAGGGTGTGTCTAGGATTTTCAGCAATCTTAATGTGGTCCTGAGTGATGCAAGTGACTTCCTTCCATTTATCCTTCAGATACTGTGCGTAAGTAAAGATTATTATTGTACTTGTGTTGCTATTCTGAGATCGTCTGATAGCAACGTGTTATATGTATAAAAGCAAAAGCACGAAAGATAATAGGACAATATAACGTAATCAGTAATAATCTTTCTTTTCTCGATGAAATATGCGTTATGGAAAGATAACTGATATCTATCATATTTTCATGATTAGATTAATAACAGCTGTATTTCATATTGTACGAAATTCTAGTGCAACAAAGACGTAATGTTTTTATTATTCTCAAATTAATTTTATTTTTTAGTATTATTTATACAAACAATTTATACCCATTTTGTTAATACGTGCTTAAAAATGTAACATTTGCACGAGTTCTGCAACTGTTTACGAACAGTTCTGGCTAGTGTTGACCCATCAATAATAATCATAAGGCTCTCAATAACCGAGAGCCTTTATAACCATATAACCATAACTTTTACCATATTTAAATGAAACGAAAAGGAAAGAATAAATTTTCTACTAAACAACGAAATAAAACAATATACATTATATTTAGCTATATGTATAATATAATACAACATAAAATGAAATCAATTTTATTTTATACATTTACTATATGAATAATCTTCATTAAAAATTTCCCTAACGCAACATGTATACATAAAACACGAATATATAAAAACATAGGAATATACAAATAAGTATTATACTAACTATCTTATCTGTAACAATTGAAATATGAAGTCTTGATTGTGATATCATGTATGCTTGATACAAAAGCAACTGTTTCTATGTATACTTACACGATTATTAATTTACTTAACAAAAACAGAGATCGAATGTTCTAGAGAATCATTTTAAATCGTAAAAATATTCAACAATAAAATACATTTCACTACATATATCAATCATAATCTTTCACACATGACATTTTGCTATTTTAGAACTCATTTGAACGATACAATATAAATCACAATATCATTACTTACAAAGAAAAGATATGTACAACGAGTACAGCACTATTTTTAGATTCAACATCCTTATTGTAACTATAATAATGATTAACGTCAGACATTAATCCATTGACGACGTAAAAGTAAAGGTAGGCCAATCTCACACATACCTATAGGTATTGTATTTTACGCATACAACATTAATCATTTTCCAGGCAATTCAATTTTCTTTCTCTCAGATTTCTTGTGTTCCAATTCCGCGCGGATTTTCTCCGCGGCTTCAAGTTCTTTGTCGATCACCAGACCCCACTCATCATCGCATTCTTCCTCAGAGGATCCCTTTGATTTTTTAGTCGTGGGCTTCTCAGTTTGTTTGGTAGTTCGTGTAACAGGCTGTTTGGTGGTACTTGTCGTAGTCCGTTTCGTAGTTGTCGCCGCCTGTTCGGTACTATTTGTTGTTGCCTGAGCGGTAGATGGAGTAGTCGCCTGTCTGGTAGTTTCCGTTTCAGTCTGTTCGGTAGTTGCTCTAGTAGTCTCCTCCGAGGATGTTGTACTAGCCTGCGTGGCGGATGCAGTTGATGCACTTGTGGTAGATGGTGTACTAGCTTGCTCTGAGGATGCAGTTGACGCACTTGCGGTAGATGGTGCGCTAGTTTCCTCTGAGGCTGCTGTACTAGCTTCAGTGGGCGCACTTGCGGTAGATGGTGCACTCGTTTCTTCTGAGGATGCTGTACTAGCTTGAGTGGAGGATGCAGTTGACGCACTTGCGGTAGATGGTGCGCTAGTTTCCTCTGAGGCTGCTGTACTAGCTTCAGTGGACGCACTTGCGGTAGATGGTGCACTCGTTTCTTCTGAGGATGCTGTACTAGCTTGAGTGGAGGATGCAGTTGACGCACTTGCGGTAGATGGTGCGCTAGTTTCCTCCGAGGATGTTGTACTAGCCTGCGTGGCGGATGCAGTTGATGCACTTGTGGTAGATGGTGTACTAGCTTGCTCTGAGGATGCAGTTGACGCACTTGCGGTAGATGGTGCGCTAGTTTCCTCTGAGGCTGCTGTACTAGCTTCAGTGGACGCACTTGCGGTAGATGGTGCACTAGTTTCTTCTGAGGATGCTGTACTAGCTTGAGTGGAGGATGCAGTTGACGCACTTGCGGTAGATGGTGCGCTAGTTTCCTCTGAGGCTGCTGTACTAGCTTCAGTGGACGCACTTGCGGTAGATGATGCACTAGTTTCTTCTGAGGATGCTGTACTAGCTTGAGTGGAGGATGCAGTTGACGCACTTGCGGTAGATGGTGCGCTAGTTTCCTCTGAGGGTGCTGTACTCGCTTCAGTTGACGCACTTGCGGTAGATGGTGCACTAGTTTCTTCTGAGGATGCTGTACTAGCTTGAGTGGAGGATGCAGTTGACGCACTTGCGGTAGATGGTGCGCTAGTTTCCTCTGAGGGTGCTGTACTAGCTTCAGTGGACGCACTTGCGGTAGATGGTACACTAGTTTCTTCTGAGGATGCTGTACTAGCTTGAGTGGAGGATGCAGTTGACGCACTTGCGGTAGATGGTGCGCTAGTTTCCTCTGAGGCTGCTGTACTAGCTTCAGTGGACGCACTTGCGGTAGATGGTGCACTAGTTTCTTCTGAGGATGCTGTACTAGCTTGAGTGGAGGATGCAGTTGACGCACTTGCGGTAGATGGTGCGCTAGTTTCCTCTGAGGCTGCTGTACTAGCTTCAGTGGACGCACTTGCGGTAGATGGTGCACTAGTTTCTTCTGAGGATGCTGTACTAGCTTGAGTGGAGGATGCAGTTGACGCACTTGCGGTAGATGGTGCGCTAGTTTCCTCTGAGGCTGCTGTACTAGCTTCAGTGGACGCACTTGTGGTAGATGGTGCACTAGTTTCTTCTGAGGATGCTGTACTAGCTTGAGTGGAGGATGCAGTTGACGCACTTGCGGTAGATGGTGCGCTAGTTTCCTCTGAGGGTGCTGTACTAGCTTCAGTGGACGCACTTGCGGTAGATGGTACACTAGTTTCTTCTGAGGATGCAGTACTAGCTTGAGTGGAGGACGCAGTTGACGCACTTGCCGTAGATGGTGTGTTAGTTTCCTCTGAGGATGCTGTACTAGCTTCAGTCGACGCACTTGCGGTGGATGGTGCACTAGTTTCTTCTGAGGATGCTGTACTAGCTTCAGTGGACGCACTTGTGGCAGATGGTGTAGTAGCTTCTTCTGAGGATGATGCACTAGCTTGAGTGGAGGATGCAGTGGAGGCACTCATGGTACTAGCTGGCGCAGGAGATGTTGTGCAGACACATGTTGTAATCTGTCCAGTACTTGATTCCGTGGTCGATACTGTGGTAGCTGCCTGTGAAGACCCTGTGGACGCTGCTGCAGAACTTGCAGTGCTCGTTTCCTCGGATGCTTCTGTGGTAGCCTGTTCCGATGAGGCAGTGGATGCCCTCGAAGTACTTGCTGTACTAGCTTGTTCTGAGGATGCAGTACTAGCCTGTTCGGAGGATGCTGTTGATGCTGCTGCAGAACTTGCAGTGCTCGTTTCCTCGGATGCTTCTGTGGTAGCCTGTTCCGATGAGGCAGTGGATGCCCTCGAAGTACTTGCTGTACTAGCTTGTTCTGAGGATGCAGTACTAGCCTGTTCGGAGGATGCTGTGGATGCTGCTGCAGAACTTGCAGTGCTCGTTTCCTCGGATGCTTCTGTGGTAGCCTGTTCCGATGAGGCAGTGGATGCCCTCGAAGTACTTGCTGTACTAGCTTGTTCTGAGGATGCAGTACTAGCCTGTTCGGAGGATGCTGTGGATGCTGCTGCAGAACTTGCAGTGCTCGTTTCCTCGGATGATTCTGTGGTAGCCTGTTCGGATGATGCAGTGGATGCCCTCGAAGTACTTGCTGCACTAGCTTGTTCTGAGGATGCAGTACTAGCCTGTTCGGAGGATGCTGTGGATGCTGTGGATGCTGCTGCAGAACTTGCAGTGCTCGTTTCCTCCGATGCTTCTGTGGTAGCCTGTTCGGATGATGCAGTGGATGCCCTCGAAGTACTTGCTGTACTAGCTTGTTCTGAGGATGCAGTACTAGCCTGTTCGGAGGATGCTGTTGATGCTGCTGCAGAACTTGCAGTGCTCGTTTCCTCCGATGCTTCTGTGGTAGCCTGTTCGGATGATGCAGTGGATGCCCTCGAAGTACTTGCTGTACTAGCTTGTTCTGAGGATGCAGTACTAGCCTGTTCGGAGGATGCTGTGGATGCTGCTGCAGAACTTGCAGTGCTCGTTTCCTCGGATGCTTCTGTGGTAGCTTGTTCGGATGAAGCAGTAGACGCCCTCGACGTACTTGCTGTACTAGCTTGCTCTGAGGAAGCTGTACTAGCCCGCTCGGAGGATGCTGTATTAGCTTGTTCTGAGGATGCAGTGGACGCTGCAGCAGAACTTGCAGTACTGGTTTTTTCGGATGACGCTGTGCTAGCCTGTTCAGATGATGCCGTGGACGCCCTCGAAGAACTAGCTGTACTAGCTTGTTCTGAGGATGCTGTGGATGCTGCTGCAGAACTTGCAGTGCTCGTTTCCTCCGATGCTTCTGTGGTAGCCTGTTCGGATGATGCAGTGGATGCCCTCGAAGTACTTGCTGTACTAGCTTGTTCTGAGGATGCAGTACTAGCCTGTTCGGAGGATGCTGTGGATGCTGCTGCAGAAGTTGCAGTGCTTGTTTCCTCGGATGCTTCTGTGGTAGCCTGTTCGGATGATGCAGTGGATGCCCTCGAAGTACTTGCTGTACTAGCTTGTTCTGAGGATGCAGTACTAGCCTGTTCGGAGGATGCTGTTGATGCTGCTGCAGAACTTGCAGTGCTCGTTTCCTCCGATGCTTCTGTGGTAGCCTGTTCGGATGATGCAGTGGAGGCCCTCGAAGTACTTGCTGTACTAGCTTGTTCTGAGGATGCAGTACTAGCCTGTTCGGAGGATACTGTGGATGCTGCTGCAGAACTTGCAGTGCTCGTTTCCTCGGATGCTTCTGTGGTAGCTTGTTCGGATGAAGAAGTAGACGCCCTCGACGTACTTGCTGTACTAGCTTGCTC